CAGTGCAGATTCTGATCACCCTGTGCTTAAAAATGAACCTGGTTCCATCCACTGGTCCTGACCTAGAGATGTCTAACTCTGGCTTCTCAAAACTGCATAGTCAGGAACCCACATCCCATAACCAACCACTCTGAGATGAGAGGGGCACTCAGAACTGGTTTGACTAGAATCTCAGCCTCAGGCGTGTGTGCAGCTTTGCCTCGTAAGTTACAATATTGGGGCTAATGAGTCATGGAGCCTGAATTTAAAGATGTTTCTTTAGCAGCTTTATGCCTAATTTTACTTGAGTGATTTCATTTTTTAATAGTTACAATTAGACTACATGATATAAAGGAGGAACTCTTAGCCTAAGGCATAGAGTCTTCAATAATTTTGTGAATTCCCTGGCATGGTTTGCTAAGTGCTGTGTTTTGTGTCTAGGTTCATCTTGGTGTGAGAGAGTGCCTAAGTTTCCATTCCATTTGCCATGGGGTGCTAAACAAACAAAGGTTTTAGAAGTCTTTCCTAATAACTTCACAATCTATTAAAGGGAGAGAGAGGAAAATGCCAACTTAATTTTCTTATTTTGAAAAATGCATTAAATGCCTTTTGGTGGCCATGAGGCCCCAAGCAAATTCTTTTTAACTAGTACAAGCAGCTTTTCTACATGGGCTCAATGCCTTTTTCCCGCATGGCAACCAATGCTCACCAATATATTAAGGATAAAAGCCCCACCGGAAGCTCCTATGTTCACCAGCAGTGCCCTACTTGGTTTTCACATTCACATTCTGATGCTGGCATGTCCCCCTAGAAGTAAACAGCAATGGGGCTTGTCTGAGCCATAATTCTAAGTCCATTATGGAGCTTATTCTTTACTTTCTCTTTTATATATTACTATATTGTTGCTGCCCAAGATAAACCACTCCATCTTTTACAATCAGGATCCATGTGCTGCACTCTTATTGTGCATTTTTTGTATGGAAGATCATGGACCAGCACTTTCTGCAGAGTAGCAGTATTAATTCTTGTGCAAACCAAATTCCATTTTATTTGTATTTTAGCTTTCCATCATACCTGTGCCATTAGTCTGAGTTACAAGCGCTTTCTCCAACCTATTCCTGGCTAGGCTTTGTTTTATGTACACGTTGATAGAGCTCCCTTCCTAGTAGATACGCATCTCCACAAGGACAGGGGTTGCGCGCTTATCTTGTTTATCTTTATGCCTCCAGCACCTTGCACAGCATCCGATCCTTCACAGGAATTCAGTAAAACTAGCTAAACAAATGATTTGAAAAAGGTGCTAATCTAATGACTTTTTTCCACAATAAGAACTTAAAAAAATCTGTTTGAATTCTTTGTTTCATTTCTAATTTCTTCTTATCCCATCCCTTCTTCCTGATTTTCTGATACACACACACACACACACACACACACACACACACACATATATATATATAGTAGCCCTAGACAAAGAGGTGACATCGTCTATCACCCGGCCTGAGAGAATGGCTTATTTAGGAAAGGTGGGGAGGTTTTATCTCTGGACTCTGCACGCGTTAGTTCTACATTCCCTTTAAAATTGTTTCTTTTGGCTATGGTTTTTGTTCTGTGCTCTTGTGAGTTACAGGATAATACTTTATTCACGCGCTGGAGATCATATGCAGTTGTGTTGGGAGAACACAACTCAGAGTCTGGTACAAGTTCCTATAGCCTTTAGAAGGTCCGCACTATAAGGGTTTTGCACGGGGTTAATGTTTTGCAAGATCCTCCTGTGTTTGTTTGTAACCACTGAGACTACTGGAAGAAGTGGGCCCCCTTTGCAATTTTGTTCATCTCAGTTAGCAGGAGAGTTCCATTCTGTTATCTTCCGCCACGTGGGCGAGTGCACCAGACAGCAGGAAGCTGCTGTGAGTGAGAGGCGGAGGGCCGTACGTGGCGACGTTCTCGCTGCCATCGCAGAGGCCTCTGTCACTGAACTCTCAGAACAGTCCTGAGGGCGGACATTTGTTTTCCCCGGGTAGTCACTGCGCCGCCTCATTTAAGGGGGCAGATGTCCTTCCATGGAGTTAGAAGTCATTATGCAGTCGTAGGAGAATGCCTATATACACATCCACTGTGACGAGTGCTGGGAAAGGAGCCAGCATCCCCAGAATTCCACCAACACAAATTCCAAAGCGCAACTCGGCTAAAGCTCTGTGGAAATCTCAACAGAAACTTGCTGCTGGGAGGCCTCGGTGAGTGCAGCCGAAAGGAGGCGAGAGGACAGGCGAGCTGAAAGGGAGTCAGGGGTTCTGTTGGCTGCGTAGACGCGGAGGGATCCACCGACACCGCCCAAGAAACCTAGTGTTTAAGGAAGCGCTCTGGATCTAAGAAAAAGGTGTCTATGGAATAGCAGTAAAACAAACAAACAAACAAAAACACCCCACAAAGTCTTTAGTACAATTTGGCAGCCTTCACTGGGCACCTTCTTCTTGATGAAGGCGAGTATGATGAGTCACTGATCCTGAAATATCGCGTCCCTTACAGATCGCTACAGGTGACAAAATTCAGACTTTTTCTTCAAGCATACCTTTTCCATTTTCTCGAAAACGTAGCTTTTCTCAAGGTTTCTTCTGTGAATGTGCCAGAAATTAACACATTAAAGCTTGTTTTCCTAGAGGCAATGGACCTGATAACTACATACTCTGTGGGGAAAAATATCACATGGCTGAAATTGAGCAGAGGTGCAGATAAAAGACTTGAAATTTCTAAGGCTCAGTTTTCCCGTCTATATAAAGACTAAAAAAGTTTCAGCGAGTTTTTAAGTATTAAATCATATAATGGATATAAGACGTTCAGTTCAGTGCTGGTGTATATAAGAACTGCTCACTCTGTTTTTCTTAATGAAGAAAGCGAGGGCTAGGATCGCCAAGTTTCTGAGTTAATGGTAGGGGGCAGACACTATGGGTTCCTTGGCAAAAAATAGGATGAAAAGTAAAAATAAATAAAATTAAATCCCCTAGGATTTTCTTCGAAAGTGACCTGAGTGGACGTAGACTAAAAATTTTGATTGTTTAAGCTAGATGATTTCAGTAGAGCTACTAAGACATATCATGGACAATTATGATGTGAAGCCTTTCGAGTGCGGTTCCATGGTGTAATGGTTAGCACTCTGGACTCTGAATCCAGCGATCCGAGTTCAAGTCTCGGTGGAACCTGCTTCACCCTTTCGTTTCACTTGTTTTCCCCGGAAAATACTGTCCACCTAAAAGACCGCTATCAATTTTGCCTCTAATATCTCCTGTGAGCTCCTGTGAGTCCAAACATATTTGTATCTGAGTGAGGAGGCAGAAGTGGAATTCCATTCTGGTTTAATGGAATTCGTTTTATAAGGCATAAAAGAAGTATCAGAAGTAAGTTAAGTACAGGTGGAAGATAACAAAACCCCTGCACTCTGCTGCGACTAGAAAGCCAACTCTAATAAAAAGCAATAACGCTCTTTAATAAAGTTTATTTTCTGTGCACATTAAAAAGAATATTTGAAATTGTTCAATATTTCAAATATGGGAAATAAATAAATCTAATAGTATTGGATAATATACAGTTAATAGCAAATTTCTCTTCTGCCCATGACCTCTACCTGCACAATTTCTGACGCACTCCACCCCATCCACAAGGCCACTGAACCCAGTATATATAAGTGCTTTATATATACTAAATACAGACAGACACCACAGACACGGTGGGGCGGGGGGGGGGGCAGATCTAAATATAGAATATCTTAAAGTAGGTGACTCTAAGTAAAAGGGCCTGCAAGACTCATTATTACATTTAAAAAATATCTACAGATTTAACACACTTCAAGTTAAAATTGAGGGGGGAATCCATAATGATATTTTCATTGCAATATTCGTCTGGTCATTGTGCCATGCACAAAACACCAAACATCTCTTTTTCTCAGATAAAATGAGTGACTTATGCTAATGAATGATTTCTTTACTAATTACATTCTTTGTATATAAGTTTTCCTTTTTTCATTTGTTCTTGTACTGTTTTGCCCAGGTCTCAGGAAATTTTTTTTTTTTTTTTTAGTATAGTATTTGTCTTGGATGAAGTGTGAGTTGTTTTGTTTTGTTTTCCTGAATTAGAAATTTGCAGGCATTTCACATGGACTAGGGGCTGGGAAGATTTCCCCCCCCCACACACACAAATAGTCTCTTTATGATACCAGGTTGTGTGTGGAATTTTTAAGCAAAATTTTTTTCTCACAACCAACACATATCACTAACTCCAAGTGTGCTCACAATGAAGATTCTCCCCCATACACTGATCTTATTCACTGTCTGCTTCTTCTTAACATTGCCCATGTGTAAGTTGCTTATCCAAACATTCATATGTAGATTCTCCTTCATAATAAATGAGTTCTGTGAAGTTCCTGCTTCCACATGTAAACATATTTCATTGTTCAAAACCAGAGAGTGTTGGTTTTCTCTCTCACAGTGCCACTAACTGTGAAACACTATACACCCCTGTTTGTTTGTTTGTTTGTTTTTTGCATATGCTGTACTGGGAAAACACTACTTATGGTCTCATTACAGCCCTTCGACCTTCACAGTATGTGGAATCTACTCTTCATGCTCCATCGTTCATATACTGCACAGATCACTTTTAATTTGGTCAGAATTGAAGTTTGCTTTATCTTTCTTGTATTTATTGATACATAAATTTTCTTTCCCAGATGAAAATGCAAAAAACGCCTCTACTCTGCAACTGTAACTCTATCTTTACTGCATACATTTATTGCCATCACACAGTTTAAATACCAAATGGAGATATAAATATTATGGAGCTCTTGCTTATATCACATCTTAAGTGTTCAACAAAAATGGCCCGTCTCGCTACTTTTTATGAAACCCGACAGCCCTTTGGTTGACCATAGTGACGAATCAACAGTAGGAGAATATCACTGTGCTTTTATAGTAGAAAGAGGGACTGCAATGTTCTTTCAGGCGTGTTTAACCACGCAGAGTTCCTGGTAAAATCTTAGTCGACAGGATTCGAACCTGCGCAGGAAACTCTCAATGGACTTCAAGTCCATCACCTTAACCACTCGGCCACAACTACCAACTTACTGACTGTTTAGTGGGCTAAAGTGAAAACTAGTGGTGGATATGTGGCACGTTCCCCAACGGTAGGTCTGGCAACAAAAAGTTTCTTAGCCCTGTCCAGGCCACTCCCTCGAGAATGAATGAGCTCATCTAGAGCAAATCAAGAGCCAGCTGGTGATGTAATTGAATAAAATGCTCCTAGACAAGCGACTCGAACTTCTTAGACGCTGGAGCTTGACCAAAAGCCGGTGATAATCTTGGACACGCACGATCACACCTAATTCTCGGGAACCTGCTGAAGGGGAGCTTTGAGTTTAGAGTGAGCTCTAAACAACCTCCAGTCGCAAATACCAATGGGAGAAGGAACTCGAATGAAGGGAACGTGCAAGAAATGGCGGGGGTGGGGGTGAGGAGTCATCTATGTTTACTTTCAGGTTTAAAATCTAAATCAGGAATCTCTTCCATGGATCAAACTGACATGCTTCCAAAAGAACGATTAAAATTGGACTGCGGCGACAGTTCGGAATGAGGGGGCGGGGTGGGGGGCGAGCAATTTCTGTCCTAACTGGAAAAGACAAGGCAGGAGAGGTCTCGGACCCCTTCCTTTGAAGGTCACTTATGTTGTCCTAGTGAAGGACGCGAGACAATTCCCAAGCGAACGAAGCCTTCAGCCTCCGGAGCCCGGGGGAAAGGGAGGAACTCAGAATACAGCTTTTCCAGGGATCCGAACTCAGCAGGAAGACATTCTCAATGCAGAATAGCGCCAAAAAGAAATGCAAACATGTATATGTCAGAATAAATCTAGCTAAATTAATACGGTTGATTCTTGAGTCAGAGACTATCTGGTTTATGAGAATGGGATGATGAAGGGGACACTTGGCTTAGATTCCTTTTTATGGAAATGTCAAGGACTCCAAAACCAAGGACTTTCTCTGAGTTCTAGGAATGGAAGTGCGTCCCCAGGGCATAAACTAGTAGATTTAAAGAGAATCTCAGATACAAAAGGAATGTGACCTCCATGATCGAGGCTGGAATTTGTCCCTCTGGTAGCTAAAAAACATGTTTTTCTTTAGGACAGTAAAAACAATCCTCCCCTCACTGTAGTCTTGCAAATATTATTTGGTCTTACTACCGTGGCGCTTGCTATATACCTCCATTTAGATTCATAAGGAGTTTATAACCTTTAACACAGTAAATTTATTTTCAAGTTTGTTGTCCTTGAGCGGTCTTATCAAAGTTATTGTCGCCAGCAGCAGCATGTGCACCACCTGGGGACTTGTGAGAAATGCAGATTCTTGGGCTTGAATTCAGATCTACAGAATTAAAAACTTGCTAGGAGGGGGGAGAGCAGAAGCCGGGAGATCCAGCAATTTGTATTAACAAGAAGCCCTCCAGGTGGTTCTGATGCCCACCGAAGTCTGAGAAGCACCCTCTTAAGGAACTAATCTTAACAAAGAAAAACACGTACTGCATAAAAATCTTTATTTTTATTTCTCATTGTGATAGCAAAAAGCAGGTATTTAAAAATAGATAAGTGTTTAAATATTTTTGCTTCATCTGTGTAATAGATCATTGCAAAGCCAGTAAAACAAAATCTGGGAACACTTTGTAATTGATCTGGGAAAATGTTTATAATGTTCACTGACAAGAGCAGGATGCAAAGAACATGACTTCAACTATGCAAAACTTTTGCATATGAAATATTGGGAGTAGAGGAGGAGTACTTCAAAACGTTGCTAGTGCTGGCTTCTGGGTTGCAGGATTATGAGTTAATTTTGTTGTTGTTGCTTTTTACAGTGTAAAGTAATCATCAAGTTTTGTAAGTGAATAGCGGAACAATGTCTTTTATTGATTTATTGGTTATTTACTGATGTTGCTCGAGAGCGGATATTTGCCTCAAGTGGTAGTTGGATTAATCGTCTGTCTTGTTCGATACACTCCACAGTGAAAGCATTCACCTTAAACTTGTTTCTCAAATAATCAATGCCATTTAGAGACTGTTAGAATTAATGAAGACTTCTCCACCCCTTCTTGCTTGCTATTTTTTTTTCTTTTTTAAAAATCATTTTGAAAGAACACTGAGCACAGTTTTATAAGTCTTTTAAATTTGTAACATGAATTTTCACGTTTTTAAGGTTTGGGGGGCTGTTTTATTTGAGGTCTGTTCCCTAGTTATTCTTGCATATGGATGCAGGAAAATAAAAAAGTGTTGACATAGGTGGGACAATCCTTCAAATCAAATAGTTGTGAGTTTTCTAAAAGATTGAAATCTTTTAGAAATTTCAGAATCTTCCACTATATGGATGTCCCAAAAATTTAGTTTTAAAACTGATGGTCATCTCAAGTTTTTCAAATCGTGGTTATACTCATAATTCTGCAACAAATGTTAGAGTGTGTCTCAGTTTTGAGTGTGTGTATCTCAAGGATCCCCATCAGAAGCTGCCAGATCAGGAAGCTGGTCTCTCAGGATGTCTCCTGCTTAGGTTTCTTCTAGCAGAGCATCAGAATAAGGGGCCCTTCCAGACTGAGGAGGAAGTGTTACTTGCCAGTTTGCCGCCATAGCGTGATATTTGTCTAAATGATGTCAAGGAATAAGAAACTTTTCTTAGTATGAATACACTTTCTGGTAGAAAATTTGATCCTTTGAAGAGAGCTGGAGTTCCATGCAGCCACTTATGCTAATAGAATGAGCACCTGCTACGTAGCCATGGCCGAGTGGTTAAGGCGATGGACTAGAAATCCATTGGGCTTTCCCCGCGCAGGTTCGAATCCTACCGACTACGGCACCTTTCCCTATTGAGACAGCCAGTTGGGGAAGAATGCTGTTGCCTTACAGAGAGAAACTGGATTGTTCTCCAACCTGGCTCTTTATGGTTGCCGCTGAAAGGCTCCACGAAGCAACCGGATTATGCCCCAAACAGCGTGGGGTCTTCCTATTACTATTATTATCTTTAGGTAATTACTACTATTATTTTTAAGTAATTCTCCCTAGAAGAGCCAAGGCTTTGGTGAGGCCTTCCTGCTTCCTGCAATCAAAACCTTGCTTACAAAACAGATTTTCCTAAAGAAAAAACTTGATAGGAGCATTTCCGTGTCCAAAGAATCGCACCCTTATCAGGGCTCTTCTCTAATCATGTACGTCTTTGTTCACGTACAAAAGGAAACTCCACGAAATCTTGGATCAAATACAAATGAAAGCCAAGACTCATAGCTAGGTCACCAAGTCGCGAATCCAAACTGGGTATTAATAAGCAAACTACTTACACAACTAAAGAAATTAAATAAAGCCATTTCCTTTGTGATCCAGCCAGATAGGGACGACAACATTACACCTGGCTGGCTTTTACTGGGGCCCCAAAGCAGTTATGGGTATGACTGTGGATGGATCTGCAAGTTGTATTTTTTTTCTTATTCTTAACTTACTGGGTCCCCAGACATTCTCCACTGGGCAGCGATCTTCCAGGTAGGCGGTAGGTCATATCTGGTGAGGCTGAAATCAAAAGAAGAAAAACAGGGATTTGAATCATAGATGCTCAGATTAAAAGTGCGCGTCTCTATCAACTCAGTGGTCCATAATCTGAGGGAATATATGGGTCTTTCCGAAGACTTGGTAATTCCTAATTCCACCCCAGGCCTTGGGGATCGGGGGATCGGTGGCAGCTGAGCGGGTCATTGCTGATCTCTGCATTATTGACGATAAATACGCGAAAGTGCAGGGTAAAAGTAGATCAAAGTCGGGCTGAGTACTTAGGGTAAGATTGATTCAGGGAGTTTATTCCTGGAATCAATGATTGCACGTGTATGAAGGGGGTGTGTTTTATCTCCGCGTAGTCAGGAGAAAAGCCCCAGGCCCGAACTATACAAAAATGTGCAGAGGGAAACCAGCTTCTATTTGAGGAAGAAGCAACACCCAGCTGATGAAGAGGACTGAAGCATAATGTAATTGCTTGATGCCTTTTAGGTGTGTGGCGGGAGGTCAGGAAGTCCTAGGCTCAAGGGTCAAGTTCCCTCCTGGTCCCTTACAAACCAAACAAACGGGAGGCTGAAATTATTTTTGTTTCAGTTGGTGAAGACCGTCTCCCTCAAACTCCACATCGCCCCAGTCCTGTACTTCTGGTCTCCTTTCTCGTCATCTTCCATTCTTTTTCTTCTTCTCTCCGCTCCTCTCCCTCTTCTCCCGCCATTACCCAGCATTTCCCAACTGGACACTTTCGCCTCCACGTCCCTTCCTCTAGGAAAAGGTGGAATCACATTAATCCACCTCTGCCTCCGCCCAACACATGGAGATTCCCCATCATTCCGGGTCTTTGTCTAATGCTTTCCTTCCACAGTTTATCTTGACTTCATCCCATTCAAAGACCACAACACCAGCAGTGGAGGAAATGTGTGTGGCCGTCGTCATGGTAAGGCTTCTCTGGTTCAGCATATATTTTTTGAGCACCTCTAAGTGAGAGCCAAGCAAGCAGTGAGGGAGTAAGCAGTTGAGGTGGAAGACAAGTAAGATTGGGTAGCATTTGCCATCATTCTGTGGGCTTTGAATATAGTTGGAGCAGAGCAAATGAGATACTCCTGTCCCAGGAAGATGAGAGGATGAGAATGGTTGTGAGATTGTCTCTGGTGGCTTTCTTTTGACTACCGTTTCTGCTTTGTGGATGTTTCAGTAGGTGTAGGAAGCAGGAAAAAAATCTCTGGACTTGAGAAAAACATGCAAGTCTAGCAGAGAATGGTCTCGATCCACTGACCTCTGGGTTATGGGCCCAGCACGCTCCTGCTGCACCACTCTGCTCACTGCAAAAAGCTGAGAAATACTTTTCAGTCTTGATTCTTACCCAATTTTTCAACACTTCAATGTCTTCTTTTCATTATTTTTCTTCATCCGCCTCCTCTACACTTTTCGCTTTATTTCCCACCCTTACAGTCATGTCATTCTCAAAATATTAATACCACACCATCTCTAGTTTGAGGTCTTCATAAATCTTCAACCCTTTCTTCAAGTGGATGCCAATCATTCCCTTT